TTAGGGTTTATGATTAGGGTTTATTAGGGTTTAGAAGGGTTTATCAATCTTTATTAGAGTTTATGATTAGGGTTTATGATTAGGGTTTATTATTAGGGTTTATGATTAGGGTTTATTAGGGTTTAGAAGGGTTTAGGGTTTATGAGGGCTCCAGCACCAGAATCAGCAGCAGCAGCAGCAAAATCAGCAGCAGCAGCAGCAGCAGCAACATCAGCAGCAGCAGCAACATCAGCAGCAGCAGCAACATCAGCAGCAGCAGCAGCAGCAGCAACATCATCATCAGCAGCAGCAGCAGCAGCAACATCAGCATCAGCAGCATCAATAGCAGCAGCATCAACATCAGCAGCATCAGCAGCAGCATCAGCATCAGCAGCATCAATAGCAGCAGCAGCAGCAGCATGAGTATCAGCAGCATCAATAGCAGCAGCATCAAGAGCAGCATCAAGAGCAGCAGCAGCAGCAGCAGCAGCAGGAGGAAGAGCTTACTCCTAGTGTATAATGCCTAGCAGCATCAACAGCTTTAAGAGCAAGAAGGAGACAAGCAAAGAGCGCAATGCGCGGGTCAGCAGCAAGAGGCGAGACAGACAAAAAGAATCGATGAAAGAATAAGCAAGCTGTTTCAAGTGTATAGGGTTTTAAACCCTTTCGAGTGAATATTAGCTGCAGCTGAAGAGCAAAGTAGCGCTGCAGCAGCAGCAAATCAGAAGCAGAAGGTGCTGCTGCTGCTGCTGCTGGATCCAGCTGCTGCAGACGTCCTACTGTCTCTTCATGCACTGACGAGCGATATTGCTGCAGCTGCGAAGATTTAAACAACCACTCTCTATAATGAGAGCTAATAAAGGGCCAGCTGTCTCCTGCTGCTGCTGCTGCTGCTGCTGCTGTTGCTGCTGCAGCTGCTGCTGCTGTTGCTGCTGCTGGAGCGGGAGCTGTATCATCAGTTTTGCTGTTAGAAGGGGGGCCCCCAGCAGCAGCACAACCTCCAGGCCGGCGGCTGTCTGATGCTGCTGCTGTTGCTGCTGCTGCTGCTGCTGCAGGAGCTCCTGCTGCTGCTGCTGCAGAGTTGAGCCCACCAGCAGCAACGGCGGGGGGCCCCGTTCTACCTGCAGCAGCAACAGCAGGAGCAGCAGCAGCAGCAGCAGGAGGGGGTCTCCCTGAAGATTGAGTTGTTGTCATTGGTGTTTAAAAGAATTAAAAGAGTAAAAACAAAGAAGGAGACAGATAAAAAAAGAGAAGAAGAAGAAGCAGTTGACTTCACGGGGTGTACAGAGCTCTTGTGTTGTTAGTTAAAGACAAACAAATAAACAAAAAAATATAAATTAATTAATTAATTAATTAATATAATATAATATAATATAAATTTATACTTTATTCCCTAGAAGACTCTAAATTGCTGCTGCTACTGCTGCTGCTGCTCGGCTGCTGCTGCTGCTGCTGCTGCTGCTGCTGCTGCTGCTGCTCGGCTGCTGCTGCTGTTGCTGTTGCGGCTGCTACTGCTGTTGCTGCTGCTAGCGTTATAAGAATAGCACGAAGTAAGTCTTTATAAGGGGTTTTAGATTAAAAGAGTTAATAAATAACAGAGATTATTTTTCTTTGAATTGATGTGCCTATACACCTGAGACAAAGACAGCAGCAAAATATATTTAATCGATGAACCAGACTTTAGCAGCAAATGCTGCAGCAAAGCAAGGGGGGTAGCTTCTCTAAAAATAATATAGATTTAAACACGTTTTTATTGCCTACTCCTTTCCTATCTGCTGCTGTCTCTGCATGCGCAACAGCAGCAATTGCTGCTGCAAGTCAAAGGAGACAGCAGCAGAGACAGCAGCAGATACTCTCATGTGTTGTATTGCATGCACCACTTGCTGCTGCTGCTGCAGCTGTTGCTGCTGCTGGTGCTGCTGCTGCTGCTGTTGTACAGGAACAACCCCACCCCTCACGGTTGCAGCAACAAGTGCTGCAAGACAACAGTAAAACCCTTTGCTGCAGCACAGCAGCAGCAGCAGTAGCAGCAGCAGCAGCAGCAGCAGCATTCATTCTGAGTACAGCTTAATCTACAAAAATAAAAGAATTAAATTAAGATTAAAAAAATATAAAGTAATGCAGAGACATCTCCACAGTAAACGCGATTAATATTTATAAAATTTATGTCGATGCTATGCAATAAAATATATTTATTTATTTATATCTCTTTTGTTTATCTTCTTCAGATATATAATATATATATATATATTTATATACATATATATGCATATATACATATATGTATATATATATATATACATATACATATATATACATATACATACACACACATATATATATATACATATATATACACACATATATATATATATACAGATACATATATATATAATATATATAAATATATATTCTTTGTCTGTGGATTATGCAAAGGCGAGTCGCCGATTTTATAATTTTTTTTAATTTTTTTTGTTT